TTTTGGGTTTATTTCTGGGCTCTCTATACTATTCTATTGACCCACGTGTCTATGTTTGTGCCAGTATCATACTGTTTTGATTACTACAGCTTTGTAGGATATCTTGAAATCTGCAGTTGTAATACTTCCATCTATGTTCTTCTTTCTCAAGATTGTTTTGGCTACTTGGAGTCTTTTGTGGTTCCATACAAATTTTAGGGTTTTTTTGTTCTAGTTCTGTGAAAAATGCTATTGGTACTTTGATAGGGATTGCACTGAATCTGTAGATTGTTTTGGGTATTATGGACATTTTAATAATATTAATTCTTCCAATCCATAAGTGTGGAATATCTTTCCATTTGTTTTATTTTCTATTTCTTTCATCAGTGTTTTATAGTTTTCAGAGTACAGATCTTTTACCTCATTAGTTTATTCCCAGGTCTTTTTGGTACAATTGTAAATGGAATTATTTTCTTAATTTTTCTTTCTGTTTCACCATTAGTATATAGAAATGCAACCAGTTTCTATATATTAATTTTGAATCCCACTACTTTACTGAATTCATTTATTCTAATAGATTTTTAGTAGAGTCTTTAGGGTTTTTTCTGGATAGTATCATGTCATCTACAAGTAGTGATAGTTTAACTTCTTCCTTATCAATTCGGATTCCTCTTATTTCTTGTCTGATTGCTGTGGCTAGGACTTCCATTACTATGTTAAATAAAAGTGGTGAGAATAGACATCTTTGTCTTATTCCTGATATTAAAGGAAAAGCTTTGTTTTTTACCATAGAGTATGATGATAGTCATAGGTTTTTCATATATGATCATTATTATGTTGAGGCATGTCCCTCTAAAACTACTTTGTTGAGAGGTTTTATCATGAACAGATATTGAATTTTGTCAAATGCTTCTTCTGCATCTACTGAAATGAACATATGGTTTTTATCCTTTATCTTGTTGATGTGATGTATCATGTTGATTTATAAATATTGAACCATTCTTGCATCCCTGGAATGAAACCCACTTGCTCGTGAATGGTTTTTTTTAATGTATTGTTGAATGCAGTTTGCTAACATTTTGTTGAGGATTTTCACATCTATGTTCATCAGGGATATTGACCTGTAGGTTTTGTTTGTTTGCTTGTTTTGTAGTGTCTTGTCTGCTTTTCGTATCAGGGTAATGCTGTCTTCATAGAATGTATTTGGAAGATTTTCTCCCTCTACTATTTTTTGAATGAGCTTGAGAATAGGTATTAACCCTTCTTTAAATGGTTAGTAGAATTTACCTGTGAATCAGTTTGCTTCTGGACTTTTGTTTATTGGGGAGTTTTTGGATTACTTATTCAATTTTGTTACTAGTAGTTGGTCTGTTCAGATTTTCTATTTCCTTTTGATTCAATTTTGGAAGATTATATGTTCTTAGGGCTTTATCCATTTCTTTTAGGTTCAATTTGTTGACATATAATTTTTCATAGTACTCTCATAATCCTTGGTATTTCTGTGGTGTCAGTTGTCACTTCTTTCATTTCTGATTTTATTCATTTGTGTCCTTTTTTTCTTGATGAATAGGACTAAAGGCTTCTGCCTGTCTTTTCAAAAAACCAGCTCTTGGTTTCATTGATCTTTTCCATTTTTTAAAAAGGCTCTATTTCATTTATTTCTGCTCTTTTATTTCCTCCCTTCTATTCACTTTGGACTTTTTTTTTCTAGTTCTTTTAGGTATAAGGTTAGATTGAAATCTTTTTTATTTCAAGTAGACCTGTACTGCTATAAATTTCCCTTTTTGAACTGCTTTTGCTGAGTCCCAAAGATTTTGGATAATTGTGGTTTCATTTTCATTGTCTCCATGTATTTTTTGATTTCCTGTCATTTCTTATTGACCCATTGGCTGTTTAGTACATGTTGTTAGCTTCCATGTGTTTGTGTTTTTCCAGTTTTTTCTTGTGATTGATTTCTAGTTTCATACTATTGTGTTCAGAAAAGATGCATGATATAATTTCAATCTTGAATTTATTAAGACTGTTTTGTGGCCTAACGTGATCTATCCTGGAAAATGTTCTATGTGCACTTGTAAAGTGTATTTTGTCATTTTGGGATGGAATGTTCTGTGTATACCTAAGTCCATCTGGTCTGATGTGTCACTGAGCAACACTATTTCCTTATTGATTTTTCTGCCTGCATTATCTATCCATTGATGTAAATGGGATGTTAAAGTCCCTGCTATTATTGTATTATTGCCAATTTCTCCCTTTATGTCTGTTAATATTTGCTTTATGTATTTAGGTGCTCCAATGTTGGGTGCATAGATATTTATAATTGTTATATCCTCTTGTTGGATTGATCCCTTTATCATTATGTAATGCCCTTCTTTGTCTCTTATTGCAGTCTTTGGTTTAAAATCATTTTGTGTAAGTATTGCTACACTGGCTTTTTTTTCCTTCCATTTCATGGAATATCTTTTTTCTATCCTTTCACTTTTAGTCTGTATGTCTTTGTGTCTGAAGTGAATCTCTTATAGACAGCATATAGAGGAATTTTTTTTAATCCATCATGCAACTCTAGAACATTTAGACCATTTGCATTTAAAGTAATTATCAAAAGTTATATACTGTCATTTTGTTATTTGTTTTCTGGTTGTTTTTGTAGTTCTTCTCTGCTCCTTTCTTCTTCTCTTGCTCTCTTTCCTTGTGATTAGTGACTTCCTTTAGTGTTAATCTTGGTTTTATTTTTTTGTGTATCTATTACAGATTTTGCGTTTGTGGCTACCATGAGGTTCATATATAACATTCTAAGTATATAGTAGTCTATATTAAGTTGATGGTCACTTAAGTTTGAACACATTCTAAAATAACTTTTTTATTTCCCCCCTCTACATTTTATGTATATGGTGTCATATTTTACATCTTTTGTTTTTGTTTTTGTTTGTTTTTTTTTACTTCTAGTTATGGCCTTTTCTTTTCCACTTAAAGAAGTCCCTTTAACATTTCTTGTAAGGATGGTTTACTGGTAGTGAACACCCATAATTTTTGTTTGCCTGGGAAAATCTTTTCTCTCTCCTTCGATCCTGAATGATAATCTTGTTGGGTAAAGTATTCTTGGCTATAGATTTTTCCCTTTAAGCACTTTGAATATAACCTGCCACTCCCTTCTGGCCTGCAAAGTTGCTGCTGAAAAATCAACTGACAGTCTTATGGGGGTTTCCCTTGTATGTAACTTTCCTTCTGTCTTGCTGCTTTTAAAATTCTCTATCTTTAATCTTTGACATTTTAGTTATTGTGTGTCATGGTATAGACCTCCTTGGGTTCATATTATTTGGAACTCTCTGTGCTTCCTGAACCTAGATGTCTGTTTCCTTCCCCAGGTTAAGAAAGTTTCAGCTATTATTTCTTCAAGTAAGTTTTCTGCCCCCTTTTCTCTTTTTCTGGGAACCCTATAATGTGAATGTTTATTCACTTGATGTTGTCCAAGAGATCCCATAACCTGTCCTCATTTAAAACCCTTTTCTTTTTGCTGTTCAGCTTGGTTGTTTTCCATTACCCTATCTTCTAGATTGCTGATCTCTTCTCCTTCATCTGCTAATCTGTTGATTCCCTCTAGTATATTTTTCATTTATGTTCTTTAACTCAACTTTTTTTTTCATATTTTCTCTTTGTTAAACTCTTTATCAGGCATATTGCTTATCTCCATTTCATTTTGTTCTTTTTCTGAGGTTTTGTTTTGTTTGGAGCATATTCTTCTCTCTCCCCATTTTGCTTGACTTTCAGTCTTTATTTCTATGAATAAGCAGAACAGCTACTTCTCTAAAACTTGAAGGAATGGCCTTGTGTATGGTCATCCCCTGTGCAGGCTATGTGTGTCTGTGTGTCTGGTAACTTTGGCTGGCTGGGGCTGTGGCTGGTATGGGCTGGGGTCACCCTGGTGTGATGGCTGGAGCTGAAGTGGTTGCAGGCCAGGGTGGTCATGGGGCTCTCTGCACTGAGAATGTCCTGGAAGGACAGCTGAGGCTGAAGTGGGTACAAGCTGGGGGGTCCTGGGGATCTCCACATTACAGCTTTTTTTTTTTTTTCCGATTACTTACTTTTAACTGTTTTTGAGGATTTCTGCAAACTTTTGGTTAGACGGTTCTCATTTTAGATCCATAGCAACATCTTAAGGAATGTTCAATTTGGCATAAGCTGTAAATCATGGGATGGCTTGGTATTCCTATCACCACTCTTAGTAATTGAGAAGCATATTCCATAACTAGTAGCCAAAATTTCAGTGTAGGATTTATATCCCAATTTTGTGCATCTGCCGTAAGTGCATGATACCTGAAGATGGGCTAGAGCATCCACACTGGAATGAAATACTGAAGTTTCAGTTACTGTTAACCTTAGTTTGTATTTCTAGCAAATGTATCATTTAAGGCATTGAGGAGAAATTGTTAAAATGCCTAAAAGTTGGGAAAAAACTTAAATGATATTCAACAAGATGTCAAGTAAACTATTAACTCGAAGATACCATCAACTACAAGGCATACCATTATATTATAGAACAAAAATATGGGAATATTATATTGGTGACATGTTATAATTTGACAGGTATTTTCTCTTTCCAAAAAAAAAATAAGACAGTATTTCAAAAGAGGCAGAAACAGTCCCATAATATGTAAAATGCTGAAATTTAAAATTTTAATCACTAAGTTTAAAAAAGTAAAAGTATTATATTCTTGTGTATATCCATAGAAAGAATTATTAATAATCTTTGGATATATGCAAGAAAAGATATTCTTTAAATATATTAAGAAGAATTGGCACATTCTGAGAATGGGTTATTTGTTGAATTGGCTTTTGGCAAATTTACCTGCTTCCCTTGGAAGTGGGCAGGTATGGAGTAAATCAATCTGTTGAGGTGTGGGTATCGTTTCTGCCCCTCTGAGAATTGAAGACTGGACTTCGTGGTGGCATCATCCTGGCGTTCAAGGGGACCAGCTGCCCTGGCCCAGTCTCTGCAGGGCTCTGACCTGCCCCTCCTCTCCTAGCCATCCTGCTGGCCTCCCGGGAGCTGATCCGCAGCAAGCGTTTAAGGCAGATGCTTGAGGTCGTCCTGGCCATTGGCAACTTCATGAACAAAGGGCAGCGTGGGGGTGCCTATGGTTTCCGGGTGGCCAGCCTGAACAAGATTGCAGATACCAAGTCCAGCATTGACAGGTGGGATCTTGTCTGCTTCCTTATCTTCCATCTCACCCCACCCTGGCCTCTCCCTTCCTCCTCCCATTTCCAACCCTAACTCCTTGCCTTTTCCCCCTGACCCCTACCCCTAGTGTCTTCCTGGCCTTCATTCCTTTACCTCTGACCTTTCACCAACAGAAACATCTCTCTGCTCCATTACCTGATCATGATCCTGGAGAAGCACTTCCCTGACATCCTAAACATGCCCTCAGAGCTACAGCATCTTCCAGAAGCCGCCAAAGTCAAGTGAGGGGCCCTTCCAAGTCTTCTTTCTCCCTGTAATCACAGCACTCTTGTCTAAATTTCCTTTCATTGCTACTGTGGGATGACTAGGAATGGGCAGTGTCTCAGGGTCTGCTTTTAGGAGAACCAAATGAAGACTGGCTACTTGCTCTCAAATCCTTATTTCAGGGATGCTCCTAGGAAACACAGTGGGGATGTGAGCCAGGGGTGGGAAGAATACTAATAACGGAAGTATTATTAAGCCAGCTACCCCTGGGACATTCCCCTAGGGAAGTTTGTGAGAATGCTCAGGACACTTATTCAACTTATCCCATCTGAGAGGTGAGGGAGCTAGGATATCATACCCCATTTCCTGTCAGTCATTGGCTGAGTGTCTCTGGGCAGGGCATGACTCTGGCCATAGGTACAGGCAGAGGGAGCTCTGGGATCCAGAGAAAGTGCTCACATCATTGGAAGTCAAGATTGTACACTACAATGGATGGTCCAAGGAGATATGGATGTGGCACAAATGATATCTGCTACAGGCAAGAAGTCACTCCTGGACAGCCACAGGCTGATAGAAGCATCTCCAACAGAAGCAGAAATGCAGCAGAAAATGGTTAATATGCAACAAGTGCTTACTGCATGCAGGACACCATGTTAAGATTTTTAAGTATTACCTGCTGGTATCAAAAAGAATTCAAGTCAGAAGCTATGTGTTAGAAACCTAATATTCAACATAACATTTCTGATCTGGAAGGATCTTCAGAATATAAGTTTTACCCCTGTTATTTTATAGAAGCACAGACAGAGTACAGAGGGGAGGTGATTTAGCAGGGCTGGAGCATGGGTCTACTGACTCCAAGGCCATTGCGCTTTGCACTGCCATCTGCCTGAACCACCCTCAGCAATTCTCCCTTCCTGTGTGTCTCCCCACAGCCTGGCAGAGCTGGAGAAGGAGGTGGGCAACCTCAGGAGGGGCCTCAGAGCAGTTGAGGTGGTGAGTACATCATCTATGCCTGCCTGGGTTTGAGGGGGTGCTGCCTGTGTCTGTGCTGAAGGCCATACCCTGTGCCAGTTATTCTAGCACCCCAGACAGGAACTTTGGGACACAGAAATGCATCAGACAGGGTCCGCCATCTGGGCGCCTACTATCTGGGGGTCTATCATTTGACCAAGTGATAGGCAGCAACAGAGCTAGCCCACAGGAAAGGATGACTGGATTATTTAGGGCTTAAATTTAGACTCTCAATGAGGGGACATCTGAGACTAGCGAGGTTACTGCCCAGCATGTCTATTGGGCACTAGAGGAGAATGAATCATAAATTGGCCCCATGCTTAACTCTAACTCAAGTGGATAGGAAAGAGTACATCTCTTGGAAGCCAGTTAGGCACAGGTAGCACACAGTGTGTGACACTGGGCACAGCTATCCCCAGAAATTCCTGCCTTATGTCTCTTCTCCCTGGGTCAGTAGAGGACCTGGGGGCTGCACCCAGGTGTCTAGTCATCACCATTCCTGCTGTGATGGCTTCTCAGATGATATGGTCTCTGGCCCCAGGCTAGGCTAGTCCCATATGGCAATGGCCCCAATCCTTTGTCCTCCACATTTAGGAACTCGAGACCCTTCCCATCTTCACTGGGGGAAGGGGGTGGTAGGCAGGTAAGGGGAGAATGAGTTAGAGAAATGAAGGTAAATATGAGAAAGAACTTTCCATTGCCACTATGGTGGTGGAGGTGGCAATTTCCAATTTATAGCCTTTTAAAGTGCTACTCAAAGCATGGCCCATGATCAGCAGCATCCGTATCAGCTAGATTTAGAAATGCATCTCACACTTGATTCTGCATATGCATCACCTACAGGTCTTGTTGAAATGCAGATTCCCTAGGTCTGGGCTAGAACCCGAGCATCTGTATTTCTTCAGATGTCCCAGGTGATGCTGTTGCTGGTCCCAGACCACACTGGGAAGCAAGGATCTGGAGAAAGAAAGATGGCAGTCGTGCATGAGGGATGTCTCACACAATTCTAAGGGCGGCAAAGATTGTGAGAGCTTAGGCAGGGAAGGGTGGGAGATGTGGTGACCCTCAGAATTCCTGACTTTTATGCTGGTGCCCATCTAACCAGCACATCACTCTCCCTCCTCAGGAGCTAGAATATCAGAAGCGCCAGGCACGGGAACCGAATGACAAGTTTGTCCCAGTCATGAGTGACTTCATCACTGTCTCCAGCTTTAGCTTCTCAGAGCTGGAAGACCAACTGAATGAGGCCAGGGACAAGGTAAGTGTGGCTCAAGCTCCCAGTCTGACCCCCATACTAACCCCTCCCCCCCACTTTTTATGTAGATGCAGCTCCTTCACCCATTCCTACCCCCAGATGGCCCAGAGGGACAAACCCAGAGTCACAGAGCTTTGAGGAAAAATAGTTTCCTCACTCCCTTAAGAAAAGCAATAGCAAGTCTGTTGCAAAGATCATAATCCATTTACCAGGTGTAGGTACGATGTGGTGTTTTACATTATTTATCACATGACCTACCTTAAATAACCTTAAAAGGTTATTACCCCATTGTACAAGTATGTACACTGAGATCTAGAGAGGTTAAGAAACTTGCCCAAGGTTTCCCAGCTGTGATGGACAGAGCTGGGTTGGAATCCTGACTCTAGAGCTCAGCTTTGGTCACAGTTGCTATTGCCTCTTCCTGGCTTCCCAACATCCTCATGGACCCCATTGGTAGGGGTCCTCACTCAGGAGGTCTGGGGTAAGCCTGAGATGCCCACGCTGGTCCAGGCAGCACACTCTGGGTTGAATTAGGGATGGTAGCTGTCAATAAATGTCAGAACAGTGCCTGACACACATAATTAGAGCTAATGTTTTACATCTATTAACTCACCTCACCCTCACAACACTATGAGGTAGAATCTATTGTCCCCATTTTACAGCTGAGGAAACTGAGGCACAGAGGAGTTAAATTAGCCTAATAACTATATGATCTCCGGGTCCTCTTGAGTTTGTGACCTTAGGAAGTACTTCCCAAGGTCTGTAGCTCCTGCTCCCATACCTACACCGTAACAGACCCAATGGTAGCTTTGGGCAGCCTCTGTCAGCCAGCTTGGATTCCCAACCTCCCCTTGGTGTCACCCTCAAGCTTTTCCTTCAGCCTTGTCCCTGCCGTGATGATAGCAGGTGTCTCCCCCTCTCCAGCCCTGCTTCCCTCTGTCAGAGGTCCCCGGCCTTGGACTGGGCTCTGTTCTGACTGGAACCCAGCTCACCACATGGGCTGAGCCACCATGCTTTGGGGCGGGGGCAGACTCTCACCACCCCTTTCGCTCTAACAGTTCTCCAAGGCCCTGATGCACTTTGGGGAGCAGGACAGCAAGATGCAGCCAGACGAATTCTTTGGAATCTTTGACACCTTCCTGCAGGCCTTCTTGGAGGCCCGGCAGGACCTGGAGGCGATGAGGAAGAGGAAGGAAGAGGAGGAACGGCGGGCACGCATGGAAACCATGGTAAGAGGGCTGGGCTGAGTGGGGTGCTCCTGGGGGAGAGCAGGAGGCGGCAAGGGGGCACAGGGTGTCTCAGGAAGCAGGAAAGTGGGGCCAGCTGGTCAACACAGGCCTCCGGATGCACAGGCTGGAGTTCGTGCCCGCTGGGAGGCCATTCGTTTGACAGCTGGACTGTGGGTGGCTGCTCTGGCCTCAGCCCACCTCTCACTCTTCCTCCTCCTGCAGCTGAAGGAGCAGAGGGAGCGGGAGCGGTGGCAGCGGCAGCGGAAGGCCCACGCAGGCAGCGCGCTGGAGGAAGGTGGCGAGTTCGACGACCTGGTGTCAGCCCTGCGCTCAGGCGAAGTGTTTGACAAGGACTTATGCAAGCTGAAGCGCAGCCGCAAGCGGTCAGGGAGCCAGGCCCTGGAAGTCACCCGGGAACGGGCGATAAGCAGGCTAAATTATTGACCTGGGGACTGGCCACAGCAGGAGGCAGGAGACAGGGGTGGGCTGAGGGGCTGAGCGGAGGTGGCCGTGATCCTTAGACAATTTGGTGCTCAGTTGCAATGAGCCCTGGGCTGGGCCCTGGGGTGGGGGCAGTGCGTGGCAGGACCAGGGGTCCTCGCACTTACCTGGAGGGGCTCCTCACATCTGTTCCGTTATTCTTTCTGCATCCCGGTCCCCCAGGGTCACTCCAAGGCGGACTTAGACATCCCTGGCAGGCCCTGCTGAAAGAGCCCTGCCCCCCGCCCCCCCCCCCCGGCCCCAGCAAGGGCACATACATGTTGGCACACGACTATTCCAGATCTGGACTGGACAGGTCCACAGGTCTTGTCCAGATTTCATGTGCAGTAGGGAGTTCATGGTGGGGTGGGCCCCCTGAGAGCCAGGGTGAGAGAATGCAGGCCCCCAGCCCCCAAGAGGAGGCTTAATGGAACATGGATCTGGGAGCAAACTTTCCTCTTGGATGGAAAAGGAAGAGGTATTAGATAGTCTGGCTAGGTAGGTTTCAGAAAAAGTGCTGGGAAGACGATAGAGTCATCAGGACACAGAGTAGCAGTGCTTGTTTCCTACATCACAAGTCCTTTGGCCCCTCTCTCGAATGTCTTAAGTCTCTCTCCCTTCCTTCCCTACCGCCATCTCCCTCCTATCTACTAATCCTGAATCTCAGAATGCTCACCTTTGGGTTCCCACAGCTATGGTTCACGATCAGGTACTTGATGAATCTGGTAAGGGGTTCAAGAAAGACCCCGATCATCCACCACACCTCGTGCCTTGGGCCTAGGGACCCTGGAACAAAGATCTCCTCACACATCCTCTGTACAACCCAACCATTGTCTTGAAGCAAGACAGTGACCACACCTGTTGGCTGGGAATTCTGATAGCCCCTCACTAGAGGGCAGCACTTGAATGCCTAGCTCCACTCTGGTGCTCTCTGGTCTACCACTTCCTGTTCATCAGACTCCAAACTCTTTCTCTAAGGTCTGTCTCAGGGCAGAAGCCACGGGGACCTCCCCCTCTGTCCAGCCTGCGGAAGACTGCTTCAAACCACGTGGACCTGGCTAAGGCCGGCCCTGGGGTGTCCTGAGACGGTCCAAAGGGCCAGAGCTGCCCTCTGCATTTACATGCGATCGCTGAGGCATTCAGACTGGGGGCCAGAGCAGGCAGGGGAAGCTAGGGAGATGGGATATGGAGAAGGTCCAGTTTCCCGGGGCGTGCACTGCCTGAAGGAACCAAGGGCAGAAGGCTGGGTACCAGAGATGGGATGGGGGCTGGGACCCACCTCTCAATTCAGTTCTTCAATCTGACTTCCCAGGGGTCCATTCTGGTCCTCCCATCCACTCCCACCTTCCATTCTGTCCATCTTGAGCTGTCCTTGGTTGGGGGTGGGGTGGGGAACAATGGCTGTGTCTAAACAAAACTTCTGAAAGAAGGAAAGGTCAACTCCATCAAGGTTTGTCTTTTCAATCCATTTCTTTGCCCTAGAGTTGACCTATTATCCTTAAGAGTCCGACCTGCCTGACCCTCCATCAACCAGCTCCTTGCCTTTCTATCTCCCCACCCTTCTCTTTGTTTCTCACCTTCCAACCTACTCCTCCAGCTCAGGGTTATTGCCAGTGGCCACACTGGTGGGCTAGGCCCACTCCTCAGCTGCTTATCTTTTCCCTACATCAGACTCTTGGGGTAGGGCCAGAGTAGCTGCGGGGGCGGTGGGGGGGAGCATAGTGTTGGTGAGACCAGCATGTGTTGGTTTGGGGGGGGGGGATGTGAGCAAATGCAAGCCGGGCCAGGCTAGAGGGGAAGAGGCCATCCTGGAGTCCAGGTGAAGGCAAGATGAAGGCTTCGAGGAAGAACAGCTGCAGAGGGCTTTGTTATACCCATCTGTCTACCCGACAGCCCCCCCCCCACCCCCGCAGAAGCTGGCGTTGGGATGATGGGAAGGTCATGGGTGGGGTCTCTGAAGGTTCTCTCCCAAACTGGCTGGGCTGAGGTCAACCTCCCCTGCAGGGGACAGGGGAGGGCTCCGCTTCTATCACCAGCATGTCCAAACTGTGGCATTCCCACTCGCCATGGAAGACTGGATACGCACCAGGAAAGACAAGGAATATAGAAGTCGTTCAAGACATTTTGGATCCACAGAAAAGCACACTTTGGTTTACCTGTTTACAGAGGACACATACCTTGTTCCAGGGCTCAGGCTTCTCACCCCGAAAGATTTTTTTCTTTCTCTATTTATTATTTTCTAGCTCTGGCCAGTAGAATAGCCAGATCTACAACAGTGCCTTGGACCATACACCATCACAGTTGCCTCAGCAAGGGGCTGGGGCCCCGTGGAATTGGTGGAGGAGTTGGTCCTGGATATGCTAAATGTTTACGCCTATTTGTTCCTTAGTCTTTCCTCAGTGTCCTTCTCACCCCTCCTGCTCCCTTCAGGTAAATTCCTCCAGCTAATTTTGTGTCCATTGTAAAATTCAGTTAACCTAATCCAACCTGTCCCCTTCTCAGCAGCAGCACTCACACCTCCTTCCCGGTGAGGGAAGACAGGTGTGTCTGGGGCAGCAGGAGGAAAAACAATTCTCCAGGTGGAGAGGGAAGGGTCTGGTCCAGGCTCTCCCACCCCCATCCCATCTTTACCAACTGGGGTGCCATTTTCCTCCAGCCTCTACCAGGGATGCCTCCATGCCCTGACTGCTTTCACCAAGCTGTCTCAGACGACAAGTGAGGCTAATGTACAAAATCTGCAGCGTCCTTTTTACCTGCACCATTTTTATAAGAATATATTGTAATACTAAAAAAATATTAAATCCATACCATCCCCATCCAGCCTGCCTTGAAACCTGTGCTTTCTTCCCGTGTGGGGATGTGAGGTGTGCTAGGGAGCAGTCACAGGGGCGGGGGGGGGGTAGTTGGAGCCAGCTCATGTCTACTCTGAGAACACTAATCGTTACATTTTCAAAAGTTTTGCCAGCCGGTTCACATTGTACGGGTAGTGTGAAATCGGCCACGGAATTTGGCCTTTTCCCAAGAGCTGGTTGTCAAACATTTGCCAGCATCCGTGCATGTAGGGCAGAGGGGAAGTGGATAGACCCGAAGATGCCTACCCACAGAGGTGAACCCAGCCAACCAGTCCAGTATTCGGGGACATGCAGACCAGGAACCTCTAAGTAAGTGTACCCCCTTGAGCTCTGGACACCCCCACTGGACACTTCCCGCAGGCAGTGCATCTCTAGGCCTCCCACTTCACTCCTACCTTCTCCCAAGGGAAGACGGGGGATCTACAGAACATGTGCCCCTTTGGCTTTTATAGCACCCTTCCTGCTCCTCTTTCCCTGGGGCGGGGGGGGCAGGGGGAGGGTGGGGGCATGACTTCATGGCAGCTCAGTGCCCTCCGCACAGAGAGTCCGCATTCTTGCATCTCCAAAGCTGGCATCGTGGCTTTATTTTGTGCACTGTGAGGGTGAAGGCCATCTTCAGCTCTCTTCTTTCCCTGATATGTCCCAGAATAAAGGGGTGTGGGCAGTGGGTGGAACAGCAGTGCGCAGGGCCAGGCATGGGGTATGTGCCTGGGGCAGGAGTCCTCAGGGCTGCTGCCTGTTGTATGTCCCGTTCAAGCAGAAGGGGCTGGGAAAGGGAGCTGCTAGCAGGACGAGTGCAATGGTGAAGCCAAGACCCTGCAAGTTCGAGGGGGCCCAAACGCAGGCAAAACGAGGCGGGAACGGGCCCTTTCAGAGGGTTGGTGGGGGTGCAGCTCCCCAAACTTGGGAAGGCAAAACTGCTTTAGAGAAGTAGTAGAACATTCTTAATGCAAACCATGTCTTCCCTCCTCAAAGTGTAGGTTCCCTCTGCTTCATGAGCCCTTATGCTCCCCCCAAGGAAGGAGAAGAGGAAACCCCAAACGAGGAGTGGAAGTTATAGACTGGGCTGTCTGAAACTGCATGGGTTCTCTGGGGGCTATTTCAGGCAATGTGATTTCTCAGCTCTCCAGCGCTGCCCGCAGCAATTCCCCCCGGCCCCCCCCCCCGCCCCCGGAGTGCCCAGGAAGGCTGACAGGAGATGTGCAGCTCAGTGGAGATGGTGTGGCGGTAAAGGGGTGGGCTGACCTCGGGCTCTCGCTAGCGGAGGTAAATAGGGACGGGGTTACAGGACCTTGCCGGAACTGCATCCCATCTTGACCTGGCTGGGCTGGGGGGTGAGGGGTAAGAACTCTAAGTCCGCTGGAAGTCCCCCCGCTGACCCCCGGTCTTGCTCAGGAGCTTGATCTCCCCCAACACGATGTCTCTGCTGACAGCCTTGCACATGTCGTACACAGTGAGGGCGGCCACGGCAGCGGCGGTCAGGGCTTCCATCTCCACCCCGGTGGGGCCCCGAGCCCGGCAGGATGCCCGGATGCCCACCGCATGGCATGTGCCATCCAGCTCCAGCCCTACCTGCACGTGGCTCAGGGCCACGTGGTGGCACAGAGGAATCAGCTGGCTGGTCAGCTTGGCCGCCTGGACTCCGGCCAGCTGGGCCACCACCAGGGCATCACCCTTCTTGAGCTGGTTCTCCTGGATGAGCTTGAAGGCCACGGGCCCCAGGAGGACCATGGCTGAGGCCACAGCCACCCGCTCCGTGTCTGGCTTCCCGCCCACATCTACCATAGCCGCCCGTCCTGTTGTGTCCACATGGGTTAGTTGGTCCGAGGTTGGCAGGGGTCCTGAGGGGGTACCAGGAGCCTGGGACACTGCACTAAGGCACTTTGGGTTGGCATCTGAGTTAAGGTGGGAACTGTAGTGTCTTTGAGGGCAGCTGGACCCCAGCCACCGCTGGGCAAGGAGAGGGGTCTGAGGAACCCAGCCTCCTTTCCACAAAATCATCATCTGGTTGGAGAAACTCCCTCTGTGTCTTATACCCTGAACACGAAAGGGGTCCTGGGAGGAAATGCTTGGAATGGCTGGTGGGGAATCGTGGAGCATCAAAAGTAACTCTGGAAAGCAAGAAGGAAAGAAGAAAGGCTAAGCCCAAAAGGGAAGTGTTTTCCCCCACCTCTTCTCCCACCCTTTCCCTGCCCACCTCGAGTTCTCACTTCCACACTGCGGAGAGAGGGGTGAAGAGCAAAGAGCACAGTGAGAAGAGAGAAAGCAGGAAGTATGCAGACAGAGGGTCCCAGAATACAGGTCTGCAGCCCCTCACGGCAGGCGGTGCGCAGAGCACAGCCCCACCAGTATCTCCGGGCCCGTGGGAGTTGGGGGGGGGCACTCCTGGGCTCTCCTCCACACCGACTTCCTTGTCGCCAAAGTTCCTTTCAGAAACACCTAAGGTCTTAAGACTGCAGCCCGATCACATGACCTCTCCCTGTCCCTGCATTTTTCTGGAAGCTACAGTGAGGTCTCAGCCTGAACTACCTACCAACCACAGTTACTCTCTCCTTTTCACATTCTCCATGAAGAGTTAACAGTAACTATTGAATTTACAGAGAAGATAGTAAGGGAAATATTGTGTCTATTTCAACAATGCCTTTGAAGCCCCCTCAAGGACATCAGAAGTACCCACAGAGCAACAGGCTGATCCAAATGGTACCAAGGGCCTTGGGAGCCTTGCAGGCTCTTGTTACCCAAAGGGTGGTCCAGTGCAGAGCCCCAGTCCCAAACCCGACTCTGAAATGACAAGATCCCCAAGCGATTCATGTGCACATGAAAGTCGGAGGCCCTGTTCTAGGCAACTCCTGGTTTTACAGAAACCAGACTAGCTTATTACTCTGTGTCCTTGAGAGGAATAATATACCTTATGAAGCAAGTAGGTCTCCCAATATCCAGCTTCCCAGCTCTGGGCCCCCACCTGGCCAATGTCAGAGGTACAACCTCACTCCCAGGGAGGCCACAAAGGCATGCCCCACTCCTTGCCATCAAGGTGTGTCAGCATGGGTCGAGGCCCACCCGTAGGACTATGATGCTGGAAGTGAGGGAAGAAGAGAGATGGTCAAGTTTTCTTCCCAAGGGAGGCCTTTGGTGAGCTGCCTTCCCTTCTTTGGGAGGCTGGTATGGGAGGTAATCCTTGGACTGTCTCTGGCCCACACCAGCCTGCCTTCCTCTGGGCCCCTGCACTCACTTGGTTCCAATGCCTGGAGAAGAGAATACCTTCCCCTAGTTTTTCTCACTGCTTTCTCTTGCCTGCTGGTACAATTCAGAAGCCCAGATCTGGCTGTGGCCAAGGCCTCCCCAGCTCTCGTCTGGGAATTTGGCAGACGGGTAGCAGCATCCCTAAAGCTCCTGATGGGCCAGCCAGTTCCCCAGAGAACATACAGGACTTTATGCATATAAGTTCCCAGGAGTTAAGGAACTAGGCAGTTGAGATCCTGGCTGCCTCCTCCCTGAAAAGATCAGGAATATTCTTAGCTGGCTGCCCCAAGCTCTGCCCAGCTCCTGTAATGGCATCTAGGCTGGGAGGTTCTAGAGCCCAGGACAGGGTCTCTGTCTTAACCGGGGGTTCCATGTTCGGGGCACAACAACCTTAGTGATCATAAACCTGGAGGGCACCCTGCCTCAATTTCCAGTAAGACAGAAGGATGATTTCTGTGGTATGTAGATTGAGGAGGAGCAACCCCCAGGGAAGAGAAGACACAGGAAAGCTGGAGGGTCGAGAGAAGATGGAAGAGGAGCAGAAAAGACACAAGGATGTGATCAGGATGAAATGCAGGATCTGGGGGGTGCCCTAGGGCAGGAGCCCCACCCCCCGGGATTCCCCAGGGACAAGGGTGAGTGGTTACGTACTGATGGGTCACCCACCGATGAGGATCATGGGCCGGTTCTTCATCTGGGCAATACTGAACATGCCTGGGGTAAGGGAAAGATGGGGAGGGAGAGGAAGGCAGGAAAGGGGGAAGGGAGGGGTGGGGAAAGGAGAGTTCACTGAAACCATGGTGGACACAGTGGTATGACAACCCGGGGACATGCACTCACCTAGGCGCACCCTGACAAAAAGCCCCCGCTGCAAGGTCACCCATAACAGAGCCAGAATGGGTGCCCTTGGGGGACACAGTGGATGCCTGGGACCCCGCCCTCCTGACAGAAGGCAAGGTGTGGGATGAGACAGGTGCAGTGCCCCTCCCCCCTACCCCCCCTTCCCCCCTACCCGATAAAACAGCCCAAGAGAATTCAGGGCTCCCTCTCCTGCACAGGCTCTGCTGTGCCCATGCCCCCGAGGGAGGAGAACCATCACCACACCCCCGGTCTACAAGTGCCACAGGACGGACTGGGCGCCACGATGGGCACGGAGTCCCACTGGCTTCCTGCCAAGCTTTGCTCTGTCCCCTCAGCCCCTCCGGCCCATTCGGCAGCCAGCCAGCCAGCCCGGCCTTCCCCATGCCCACCTCTTACCTGCATGCTGCCGCTTCTTCCTGCCCACAGCGGCCCCAATGATCCTCAGCAGCTCCTCCTCAGAGGCCCCTGCCCGCAGGTGATCCCGTAGAGACACCTCTGAGTTCCCGAAGAGGCAGACCTGTGGGCGGTCACCATGGGGGTGAGAACATGCCTCCCTTGGCCCCGAGCCTTGGCCCCCTTGCCTAGAGTCCCCCGCAGGCCGAACGCCAGCATCCAGGCCTCCTGTGGCTGGGCCACACTCAAGGCAGGACTTCCTGCAGTGAGGGACAGAAGGTGCCGGATGGTGAAGTCAGAGAAGCCAGAGGGGCAGGAAGCAAAATCAGACATCCCACAGCCTACACCTGATTTACAGTCAGGTTACCTTCAGCTTATAGAGCATACCATAAAAAATTACACAGTTGCCAACAGAGACAGCACATAAAAATCCAGATCCATACCTTCTCCTGAGACGTTCCACAGAGTAGCCTATTGCCTTGAGAACGGACCCCAATCAGCTGAGTCCCTGCAGTACCCCCAGACGCAGCACGAACATCCCATTTCACCAGTCCCCTCCTGGTCCCTACTCTCACGGACATTACCCACCTGCCCCTGCACCCACTCCAGTTTGTGACCTGGACCGATGGCTGAATAGCACAGGCCTGGTGGAGGTGGCATTCTGAGGCCATTCAAACTCGCCGCGCCCCGCCTTCCGAGGGAGGCTGGCTGCTCTGGGGGCTCAGAGCTGGAGGAGACAGTCCCAGCAAGCAGATACCGACCCTTCTCCCACAAAACTTTATAAAGTGTCTACTATGTGCCAGCTTTATAGAAGGCACTGTGGGCACAGAGGACAGAGGGATGTCTGTGACGCCTCTGAGGGCGGAGAGCACTAGAGAAGTTACAGACAGAATCTAAGTGGAAGGTACACCTACTTCACCCTGCTGGCTAGTCCCCATCCCTCACTCCCCCACCAGGCCCCAGGGCCCACCCTCTGCCCCCAGAGGCTCCACCTTCTGAGATCCCCTCCAGCGGGCTCCTGCCACGGTTGGCTGCTGGGCGATCAGAGCGTGAGAGGAGCGAAAGATCGGGCATTGCTGCCCTGCTTCTTCCAGGCTCTGCCTTCTCAGGTGGTCACTGCTCCCCTCCACAGCTGCAGCTCCAACCAGGTGGCCACCCTGCCAGGCTACAGCTCTCCGTGGGCCCCAGGGATGCCGCTTCCTCCCCTCCCTCTCCCCCAGGTGCCTCGACATCCCTTCTAAGTCCCCTTCACCCCACACTATAGATAGCCTCTCTTCAGAGCCCCACCTTCCATGTCCTGAAGGAGCCCTGACTAGATAGATGCCACCCATATTTTAGGGCAATTCCACATCTCCGGCCCAGAAAAAAAGCCCTGGCTTTTGAACAAGTGGTGGATGGTCCCTTCTGGATGTCCAACTCCATGCATCTGATCTCTGATCTCCCTCCTCGCCCATGCTAAACAGCTCCCAAAGCCCACTGGCCCCCCCAGACGCCTTCTCAGCCCGCCCCCCACCACCCCCCGCATGCCTTACCAAGCTCCTTCATTTCTCCTTCCTGTCCTTGCCTCCCACTCTTGCCTACACGGAACACTGTTAAAGGGCCATCTGACTAGTCTTCCTGTTTCCAAATTCAACCAGTGGGTTATTCTTCCTCAGACATGAACGGGAGTCATGTTCTCCTTTGTCCAGAAATTGCACAGCACCCTACTGTCCACAGAACACGCACTGTACATTTCACCTGGGGGTATCTGGCGTTAATCTGCCCCTGCCACATTAGCACGAACTCCAGACAAGTGTCCTCCCTCGCTCTCCTTCTCCACCCTTCAAGGTCACCAGTGTCCAGGATGCGCTCCCTCAAAGCTCACCACCCTCACAGCCTGTCTGGCCACTCATCTGACACTGAATTACGCACTGCCACACATCAGCTCTTTGTTGGGTCTTATCAATGAGACTTTGCCTCCAAAGGGAACGAGTAGGTCTACGCCTCTCGGACATTCTCCACAGGGCTGAAGGCACGGTATGTGCTGACCAGGTATGAGTAACGGACGTTGCTTTCAGAGCTGAGCCCCTGGCCTGGAAAGAGGTCCATCAGGTGGGGGCTGGGGCCCAGGGCACATCAAACCTTCACCTCTCCTCTGCCCACCCTGGTAACATCGAGCCTGGCAAGTGGCTCCCAATCAACCGGAAGTTACTTTAGGGGCCCTGGGAAGGAAGGCCATGGGTTCACTTTCACCTTCTGTCCCCATGCTCCCCCCAAAATGGACCCTATTTCGCCAACCACACCATGTGCCCTGCTACCTGCTAGCCTCCCCTCCATCTGGGGGCACAGGTGCGGAAGAGAGATTGACAACACAGAAGTGGCAAGGGGGCCCTTGTGGGGAAAGGGACACTTACCTTGAGGTTCCCATCAGCCGTGATTCGCAGTCGGTTACAGGTTCCGCAGAAATGCTCAGACATGGACGTGATGAAGCTGAGCTGGCCTCGGAAGCCAGGGATTTTAAAGGCCTGGGGTGAGCAGGGAAAGAAGGGCAGTGGAGGGGATGGTGCTGGATGGGCCGCCGAGGGCACCAGAGCCCCCACTCTTCAGCCCTCTCCGGAGGAGCCCCACGGAAGGGAGCACCGGTGGCCCCCAACCAACAGAAGACTCTGACACAGTGCATGACCTACGAGCTCTCTGCTTGCACCTGGCCTGCCAGACAGCAAACTTGTTATGGATTTGGAGGCCCGTGGGCCACATGGCCAGAGCACCCGCCCACCACTCCCTGAAGTGCGGCCTAGGACAAGGTACTTATAGCCGCCCCATGCCCCATGCCCAGCCTGCTGCTCTGCCCACCAGGAGGCAGCTGTGAAGCCACGATCGTGCCTCCCGCTACACGGTACTGCCCTGCCTCTCTGCGTTCCGACCTCAGTGCCCACTCTCCTGCGCTCCTCCTCCCAACCCAGCCCCATCCTCCTGCCCGTAACCTTGGCTGTGCTGGATTCCTCCTCAGGCAGCTTCTCCAGCTCTGGCCACTGCTGCTGGAGGGTATTCAGCATCTCCTTGTAGCTCACCATCTTCTTGAAGTTCCACCTGTTACCTGTCTCGGGATTGGAAGCCACTGAGTCACAGAGTTGCAGGGGCCTGGGGTCTTCAGGTCCATCCTCCCACAGAGCCCAGAAATCAGTTCCGCCCCTTGCATGGGAGGGCAGGAGGCCTGGCCTAACACAGGTGGGTCAAACCGTACCAATGCCTGACATGGAGATGCCTCTGATGCCCCATCATAGCCCTAGCCCTGGCGCCTGCCCAGGCCCCTCCCCATCATCCCTGGGGAAATTCCTGCTCACACAGCAGGTCCCAGGGTCAGCAGCTCCCACAGGGTCTGCCAGACCTTGTCCACCCCACTCAACCCTTCCCAGGGTCCTCAGCATCCCCGCACCATGCTCTCAGCCTGGCGCTGGACCAGTTCTGCCGCCAGGCCCAACCTCCTCCTCCCTCCCCACCCCAGGTCACTGACCATCGAAGGGCATGTACTCTATGAAGCGCACGTCCAGAGGGAGGCCCTCGGTCAAAGCCACGAAGTCCAGGAGCTCGTCCTCATTCAGGCCTCGCATCACCACACAGTTCACCTGGCCGGGAACAAGGGGACCACCAGGGCTGTCCCCCCTGCACTCTTTTTCAGGAATGACTTTTGGGGGTCTGGCGCCTGCCTAGGTTCTCCACTGGAGGGCCCATTCTGTGTCTCTCTCCCCCAGTTCTTAAGTTGGGAATTCCCAGGGGGTCACTGGTTTTCTCCCCTCCTTTGTAGGGTGTCTGGGGCACGCTGGAAGCAGGGGGCAAGGAAGGGGGTACAGCAGAGCTACAGCAGAGCTACAGAGGTACAGCTACAGCCCCAGCCAGGGCGGGGAGCTGCCCTGGGCCTGGCCGCCGGCCGCGGTCGGCCTTGCCGCACTAGAGGGGCAGAAGTCAGGTTGAAAGCAGCAGCAGGGGCTCACCTTCACAGGGCTGTAGCCCAGCTCGATGGCCTTGTGGATGCCCGCCATTACCTTCTGGAAGCCTGTGAGAAAGGAGGGAAGGGTCTGGAAACTTTTTCTTTCTCCCTCTCCCCTGCCCCCCTTACACCCGGAGGGAAGCACCAGAGCAGTAAGGAGCCTCAGAGACCCCCGAGTTCAGGGATCAGATAGTAAATATTTTAGGCTTTTTAGGCTAAGAGGTGAAATTGAGGATATTATTAGGCATATCTTGTAAAGATTGTATTGACTAATTACAGAATCTGATAATTGAGTACAGTTTTTTATAACATAGCTCTACAAATGTAAGGGAGGAATGGAATTCTTTTTGCTGGGATAATATTTTGCTTAACTGGGGGTTCATAGTTGATGTTCCCTATCATTAAGTTCATTATAAATATTATCTGTAAAATTCACTCTTGGCTCCCAGGCTATAAAATTAAAAAAAAATAATAATAAAAAAATTATTAAAAAAAAAATTAAAAAAAAAAAGCAGGGGGCTGGATTTGGCTGGTGGACTGTAATGTGCCAACCCTTATCTAGGGGACCCCTCTCATTGTCCAGATGGGGAAACTGAGGCCCTGAGGAGAGGCAGTGCCCTGCTGGAGGCCTCACGCTGTGTGCCTCACCACGTCAAAAGCTGATGATGTATTGTATGGTGAGTAACATAACAAAATATAATTAAAAAAAAAACTGTATTAGTAGGTTAAAGTTTGTGACAATTAATACTCTAACTGAAATGATAATCTAATGTACAAATTATATGAAAATCAGAAATTATTATTTCCACATTTTTTAAAATATAAAAAAGATGTTTCAAAACAAAAAAAAGAACGCAGGTTTCTAGACTCCTTTTGTCAGTGCTTTACAAGTCTGTCCATTCATTCACTCTGCCCACTCTCGCCGTGCACTTACTATGCGCAGGGGCTGTACCAGCACCAGTGAGCAATTAGTATGCATGTGGTTCTCCCATCTCTGCGGTCAACCCACAGTACCTGCGATCCCAGGTTGGCTTCTCCTTACTTTCCAGCTCACTCTCGGCTCACTCGTAGGTCCAAACATTTGAGCGCCTCCTGAACACTGGCCCCTACCCCACCCTGCACAGCCTGGTGACTGTGGTGATTCACAGCTGGGCCATCCCCCTGGGGGAGGGTGGCCAGATGATGGCCTCCGTGGTTTCCCTGTTGCATTTTTAGATGGCCCGGTGAGGGAGGGAAAAGGGAGGAAAGTGCGGCTTTCATACAAAATGCTGTTATGATAATCTAGAAGTTTCTTCCTTTATAAAGCACTCTACCTCCAAAAGGAGGTGGTGGACACAGGAGTATAAACAGGAAGACAGCAGATCTAACGTCAGGATCTACTGTCTCCAATCCTCGTTCTAGGAAACGAGACAAGGAGGCAGGGGAGACATGGATGTCGGGTTGGGGGGGTGAAACCCACAAATGCACTTTCCACCTCAGAGCCCTTGCAGGTTCCCAACTGACGTTCCCCTTCAAAGTAAGCTTCCTTGATCCAACTCCTCTTCCCACTCCCCATTACTCAAGGCCCAAAGTAAATGCCTCCTCCATGGAGCCCTCCAGGTCTTCCCCGCTAGGAGTTCTCTCTCCTTCTCTGCAGCACTTTGATCGACACCACAAGACAAACAAAGGTAATCTAGTAGCATCACACATTTTGGCCTGTAAGGCAGAGCAATGTCCTGTGTGTCTCTGTCCCTCCACAGCACCTGCAGCAGTTCTTTCCAGAGGCAAGGACTCCACGAGCATGTCCTCAGCACGTGGGTGGTGTCAACAGGGAGTCACCGCATGGAGCAGGGGAAAGAGAAAGTGGGGCTGGGAGCTAGAAGCTGTTTCCAGAGAAGGGGAAGGATTGCTGAGAAGTCTCAGTTATGTACCACCCACCCCAAATCAAAACAAAGGCATCCAACCCCGGATACTTCCTACCCCAAACTAAAGCCCATGGCCCAAGAGACATCAGGTGCTGACCTATGAGACCCAGGGCTCAGGGCTGCTCTACCTCCCCGACCTGTGCCGTCCATGATGAGGCCTGGTGGGGGAGGCCGTGGTAGTGCTGGCCTTGACCCTGGCACCTCAAGGCAGCTGCTTCCACCCTGGGCTGCCCCACATTTCCTCAGAGCTCATTATAGGGTAATCAACTTGTCCCATCTGCCAGGGACTGCCTTGGTTTTAAAATGGAAAGGCCTGCACACTAGCAACCCTCCCAGTCTTGGGCACACTGGGGGCAGGGCATAAGGAGACTGGTCACCACAGGTCTTAGCATCTGATCCCCCAGATTTCCCAAGGGTATGGGTTTGGCTATAGAGACAGAAGACATCTGGCGAAGGTGAGGGGTGAGGAATAAATGCTCAGGTTTATCCGCAGCTCACACACCAAAAGGGAGCAACCAGGCCCCTTGCCATGGCTCCTGTGCTATGTGGGCCCTTGGAGGGCCGCCCTCCACTGCAAACCACACTGGCTCACCTTTCCTGCGAACGATGAACTCAAATTTGGCCGGCACCAGTGTATCCAGGCTGATGTTGATGGCACTGAGACCAGCCTTCTGAAGCTGAGGGAGCAGCCGGGCTAGGTTGATGCCGTTGGTGGTGATGCCAATGGTCCTCAGCCCCTCCAGCTGGTGGAGCTGAGCTGTAGAGAGAGCAGAGGGGGGGAAGTCAGTCTGTTTATTCCCGGTGAGGCTGGGAGAAGGGCTGGAAGAAGAAACTCCAAGTCCAAATAAGATGGATGGAAAAGGGTTTCTCTGTGCTCTTCTGTTAACTGGGTTTAGCTTAATAAAAACAAAAAAAAATAATAACTCTGATAAAAATAACCAAGAGATTAAACACTGAGTGCTCACTCTGCTAGAGGCCCTGCCGAGGGCTTTGCGGGCCTTAGCTCATTGAAGCCTCACAACAAGGGTTATCCCCATTTACCAGATAAGGCAAGAGAGACTTGGAGAGATTAAGAAAATTGCTTAAAGTCACACAGCTAGTAAGAACGGCTGAGATTCAAATCCCTGTGTACTTGACTCCAAGACTATGCTCTCAGTTAACCAACTCATAGGTGCCCATACTCTGCATAGGAGAAACAAAGAAGTGTTTGGATTATTTGCTAAACTGCCTCCTCCATTCCACCCCAAGTGCCTAGACATAACAGAAGGATGAAAAAAGAGTCCACAATAGCACTGGAAAGCGAGAAAGAATGCCTTCAATGGCCCAGACAAGTAGAGAAATCCTGAAAGATAGAAAGCAGATGGGCTCATGTGGATTGAGGAAACCACAGCCCAAAGCACATACAGAAAGTTCTGTACAAAGTAGGAGGGCGACTAGTGTACCCCAAACTTTGCAGTCACCTACACAGGGAGTAGGAAGGACCCTGGGCATGTCAAGGAGATTACCAGTCTGGGGAACTGTGTTTGCCTGAGCTGGGTAAGTTGGTCTCCCTCCATCCTTATGTGCAGGGGGAAGGCTGCAGCTTTTACCCCAAGCCTAGAGTACTTAGCTAGCTGAAGGGGGTGGGGGAAACCAGCATGAATAGAAACAGCACTGGCAGCCAGGCCAACAGAAGCCTTGAGCGCGGAGATGAGTACATAGCCAAGAGTCAGCACCCATTTAAGGAGAATGTTGTAAAAGAAAGATAAATTCCACAAACAGAAGAATGAAAGAGGAAGGAAAAGTGACAGAGATAACAGAAGAGGATTCTTTTAGAAATCAGAGTTAGTGCCCATTTTCCTTATTGAACACTACACCTGAAACAAATGAGGTACTATTAGTTGGCTAATTGAATTAAAAAAAAAATCAGAGTTAGATGAACATAGATGCAAAATCCTCAACAAAATATTAGCAAACCATATTCATCAATATATTAAAAGGATCATACATCATGATCAAATGGAATTTACTCCGGGGATGCAAGAATGGTTCAGCGTTCACAAAATCAATGTGATATATGCCACATAAACAAAAGGAAGGATAAAAATCAGATGACCAACTCATTAGATGCAGAAAAAACATCTGACAAAATCTGACACCCTTTCACGACAAAAACTCTAAAAAAAAAAAAAAGTGGGTATAGAAGGAGCATTCCTCAACCTAATAGAAGCCATATATGACAAGCCTACAAACTAACATCTTAGTCAATGGTGAAAAGCTGAAAGCATTTCCTCTAAGATCAGGAACAAGACAAGGATATTTGTTCCTGCCACTTTTATTCAACACAGTATTGGAGGTCTTAGCTAGACCTTAGGGGGAAAAAAGAGATACAAGGCATCAAACTGGAAGGGAAAAAAAAGTAAAGCTATCACTATTTGCAGATGACATATAGAGAAAACCCTAAAGAAGCCACCAAAAAAACAAAAAAAACATTAGAACTAATAAATGAATTTAGTATAGTTACAGGATACAAAAATCAATATACAAAAATTTGTTGCATTTCTATATAGTAAATAACAAATTATCATAAAGAGAAATAAAGAAAACATCCCATTTATAACTGTATCCAAAAGAACAAAATACCTAGAAATTAATTTAACCAAGGAGGTGAAAGACCTCTACACAGAAAACTCTTAAGACATTAATGAAAGAACTGAAAAAGACACAATAAATGGAAAGATATTTTGTGCTCATGAACTGGAAGAATCAATATTATTAAAATGTTCATATTACCCAAAGCGATCTACAGATTCAAAGCAACCTCCATCAAAATTCTGGCATTTTTCACAGAAATAGAACAATCCCAAAAATATGTATAGAACCACAAAAGGCTCTAAGTAGACAAAGCCATGTTGAGAAAAAAGAACAAAGTTGAAGACATCACACCCCCTGATTTCAAACTAAATTATAAAGCTATAGTAATCAAAAACAGTATGGTATTGGATAAAAACAGACATACAGATCAATGGAACTGAATACAGAGCCCGTATGTAAACCCATGCACACATAGCCAATTCATTTATGACAAAGGAGCCAAGAATATGCAATGGGGAAGGGAGAGTCTCTTCAGCACATGGTGTTGGGTAAACTGGACAGCCACATGCAGAAGAAAACTGTACCACTACCTTACACCATGCGCAAAAATTAACTCAAAATGGATTAAAGACTTGATCTGAAACATAAAACTCCTAGAAGAAAACAGGGGTGGTAAGCTCCTTGACATCAGTGTTGGTGATGATTTTTTGGAGCTGGATAATTTTTTGGAAGAAAGGCAAAAAATAAACAAGTGGAAAAACATCAAACTAAAAAGCTTCTGTTTACAAAGGAAACCATCAACAAAATAAAAAGGCAACCTACTGAATGGGAGAAGATATTTGTAAACCATATATCTGATAAGGGGTTAATATGTAAAATACATAAAGAACCCATACAACTTGATAGCAAAAACCCAACAATCCAATTTAAAATGGGCAGAGGATCTGAACAGACATTTTTTCCAAAAAAGATATACAAGATGGCCAAGATATATGAAAAGATGCTCAACACCACTAATCTTCAAGGAAATGCAAATCAAAACCACAGTGAGATATCACCTCACACCTCTTAGGAATGGCTATGATCCAAAAGACAAGAAATAACAAGTGCTGGTAAGGATATGGAGAAAAGAGAACCCTTGTACAATGCTGGTGGAAATGTAAACTGATGCAGCCACTATGGAAAACAGTACAGAGTTTCCTCAAAAACTTAAAATTAGAACTACCATATGATCCAACAATTCCACTTCTGGGTATTTATCTGGGAAAAAAAAACCCACAACAAAAACACTAACTCAAAAAGATAATATGCACCCCCATTGTTCACTGCATTATTTACAAAAACCAAGACATGGAAACAACCTAAATGTCCACCGATGACGAATGGATAAAAAATAATGTGGTGTATATATATACACATTGGGATGTTATTTCACCATAAAAAAGAAGTCTTGCCATCTGTAACAACATGGATGGACCTTGAAGGCATATGCTAAATGTAGTAAGTCAGACAAAGAAAGATAAATACCATGTGAGCTCATTTGTATGTGGAATCCAAAACCAAAGAAAACTGAATTCACAGATAAAAGAGAACAGATTGCTGGTTGCCAGAGGTGAGGGATAGGGGGTGAGCAAAATGGGTGAAGGGGGTCAAAAGGTACATACATCAGTTATAAAATAAATAAGTCATGGGGACGTCATTTACAGCATGGTGACTATAGTTAATAATACTGTATTGTATATTTGAAAGTTGCTAAGACAGATCTTAAAGGTTCTCATAACAAGGAAAATGATGATAATTGTGTGTACTGATAGATGTTAACTAGATTTATCGTGTTCATTTTGCAATATATACAAATATTGAATCATTGTGTTGTACACCTGAAATTAACAATGTTATATGTGAATTATAGGTCAAAAAATATCAGAGTTAATATCCTCAGAAGGATAAATATCGCATCCTGAAAATAAGAACAAGAACTAATTAGAACTCTTGAAAATAAAAGTATAGTTATAGAAAGAAAAAAAAACAACTAGGGTACCTGCGTGGTTCAGTCAGTTGAGCATCTGACTCTTGATTTCAGTTCAGGTCATGATCTCAGGGTCCCTGGGATTGAGCCCCAAGTTGGGCTCCATGCCCAGCGAGCCATCTGCTTGAGATTCTCTCTCTCCCTCTTCCTCTCCTGCTTGTGCACTCACTCTCTCTCAAATAAATAAATAAATCTTTGAAAAGAAAAAAAAAAACTAGATGGAAAAACAGAATGGACACCTATGAAGAAGAGCAAATGAGCAAGCTGGAATTGAGCAAAGGAATTCTCCCATAATTGTATACAAAATAACAATGCAATGGGACTAAAAAAGAAAACCAAAAAATAAAACCCAAGGCTTATATTTAAATCTAGAAAAAAGATACTGTGTAAAAATGTCCACAGTAGCTACATTTGATCAGGAGGATTACAGGTGATTTTTATATTCTCTTATCTAGAGGGAAAATTTATTTCAAACTACTTGAATGCATGAATCTTGGTGAACAATCAGCTCAGCTCTATGCGAGTACAGAAACGAGAAGTAAAATGCCCAAGACAAGCTGGATTGAGAAAAAGACAACAGCAGATCACAAAGTTAACACCCAGTTTAGGTAGGGGTGTATGGAAATGCACATGCTCATGATATAAAACCATAATTATATAACTTTTCTGGAGGTAAGCTCTGTATCTGGAGAGTAGTGTATGGAACCTTAAAAAGCCTGTGACCTGAAATTTCACTTCTAAGAATTTAACCTAAGGAAATAATTAAGGATGTGAACAATATCTATAAGAACGTTTATTAGAGAACAATATATAATAAAAGGAAGATGGAAATCATCCAGATAGCCAACAACAGAAAACCGGCTAAATTATGCTTTGTCTGGATGATGGAATATTATGTAACCAAAAAATGACTGCAAAATCATGTTAGGGAAGTTGGGAAACATACATGTTGAAACCAGTAGTTAGAAATCAGATAACAAAGCAAAATGACAGGCAAGTCACCAAACCAAAATGTTAACAGTTGTTATATTGGGGTAGTAGTGATATTCTTTTTGCTTATTTGAAATAAACATGCACTATTCTTGTAACTAGAAAATAAAAGTTTAAAAATAAAAGTTGTTGTTTTAAAAAGTGTGAAAATTAATCATGGGAAA